TCAATTCTAAAGAATTTTTTTATAATAGTGTCAGCATATTCCACAAATGTGTGAAAATTTACAGTAATTAAGACATTTACAACTTCCTGTAATTTAATTTTTGGTATAAAATGAAGTTTTATTAATTAGTCATTCATTTCTGATGAGTCTTTATTAATGAAACACAATGTTAAATAAATTTTTTTTTTGTTTTAGTGATTTATATATATATATATATATATATATATATATATATATATATATATATATATATATATATATATATATATAGATAGATAGTAGTAGCCATTGAATTAAGGCACGTTACGGTATTTGAATAAATTTAGTATAACTTTGAATGTGCCTCTTAAATGTCACAAAGTATTATATGTCAATGTCATCAAAGCTTATTAAAGTTCTTTCTTTAAAGTAAATAGTAAATAAATAAAGAAAATATGGGTAAAAAGGCAGATTTGAGTGATTTTGTTAAAGGTCAAGTCATAACTTTACATGGTGAAGGGTACTCACAAGTTGTCATAAGTAAACGTCTAGAAATATCAAGATGCGCTGTACAAAACGTGCATGGGAGTTCTAGACATCAAAATTGCCATGGCATTCGCAAAACTACACACTGATGATTGATACCTGAAAAGTATTGTGCAAGCCAGTTCTCACACTTCCTCTGCCCAAGTTATCCAATGGGCCACGGAAAGAGGCATTAATATTAGCGCCAGAAGTGTTCGCAGTCGTCTGTCTGTACAGAAATTACACTGCATGCGCGTAGACCAGCAAAGAAGCTATTTCTCACTAAGAAGCAGCTTCATGTACATGCAAAATTCTGTCATGATATGAAGGACAAAACTGCTGAGTGGTGGACTACTGTGATGTTTACTGACGAAAGTACTTTCCAGCAGCTTCATGGTTCAGGGTACAATTATGTTCGTCAACCGGTAGGTGAAAGACTCAACCCTAAATACACTCTGAAGACCGTTAAACACCTGCTATCTGTTATGGTGTAGGGAGCAGCTAAGGGTAGATGCGGAATCCACATCTTCGGTAAGGGCGAAAAGGTCAATGCTGCAAAGTATATAGAGATTTTAGAGTCAAAGGTTAAGAGACATATGAACATTTCTGAAACTACCATCTTTCAACAAGACTCAGCACCGTGTCATACTGTAAAACCAGTCAAGAAGTGGTTTCATGACAACAATGTGCAACATTTGAAGAACTGGCCCTCAAATTCGCCTGATTTGAACGTTATTGAAAATTGTTGGAACTTAATAAAAGCGAAAGTGTCAGCACATCGTCCAATGTCAGAAGAACATTTAAAAGATGTATTGAAGCAGGTGTGGGTAAATGAAACTACCCCAGAGTACTGTGACAAACTTGTAAAAAGTATGCCTTCTCGTATACAGGCTGTATATGCCCATAAATTCCCAAACAAACGTTTTTCAACTGTGGATACTAAAACTTGATTTGACATCTTGAAACTACCCCAGAGTACTGTGACAAACTTGTAAAAAGTATGCCTTCTCGTATACAGGCTGTATATGCCCATAAATTCCCAAACAAACGTTTTTCAACTGTGGATACTAAAACTTGATTTGACATCTTTTACTTGTCCAGGAAATTCTGATGCGTTGTAATTAATGACACACCAATCACCGATGGAAAGTGTCAAAATTGAACTGTGACCATTTTCATCTATTTGATGTAAGTAATCTGAAAATAAAATGGTGGACTTTATTTCGTTCAAAACTGTTTCCTGCAGCATGATTTCGCCGCATTGATTTGTTGTAACACAAAGAATTGTTTTTATGCCTTCAACATCTTTTACATTACTCCATGGATTAAATTTGCTGGTTAGCTTATCAATCTATTCTTGTTGAGCATGAAAAATTATTGTTTTAAGCATTAACATAGTTGTCAATTCAGCAAAATCTTTAGATGATTGAACAATGGTGTTAGCTCCCTTTGACATAATTTTTTGACGTACAAGATATTTTGCTTTCCCACCAATTGCATCAATTACCCCCTTTCCATGGGAAGTGGCAAAATACTTCCACTGAAAATTTTATCTTATCAAATCAATAAAACCAATCAAATAATAAAACCGTGTACCCCTTGCAAATGTAGCTGCTGTAAAAAGAGTAATGCTAGATCTGCTCCACATAGCTGACTGGATTTCAGATTGATATTTGCATGAATGTGACATTGCAAAATTTTTTGCAATGTCACTATTTGCAGGATTCTGGAGGTACATTTTGTTTTGTCTTCAGAAAATTCTTTAGCTTGGATTCTTTTTACCCACACATGCTTTACAACCTTGTCAAAACCCTCTTGAATGACACAAATAAGTTCTCCAACAGTACCCTGCTGCTGAATCTTGCGCAGTCACTTCTTGGATTTAGCAATGTCGTCACCTTTGGCATACTCATTAATTTATTCGTACCAGATTGCTATGTCTTCCACATTCTTGTTAGATTTAATATTAAAGCCATTTTTACATAATTTACACTAGTTTTTCCAACAGGACTTGGACATATCTAATGCACTAGAAGAACACAAAATATCATCTGACCAATTATATTTAAACAAAATGCCCAATCCACTTAAATGTAGTATTAAATTTTCATGCATCACACATTTACACTGATCAGCAGGTGTATTTTTTAAAAGCAGTACAGGTGGGTGGAAAGATTTGGAAAAACAAATTTTAGTTGTTTCATTTTTCTCAAGAAATAACGTATATGCCTCACGGAGGAACATAGTCAAGTAATACTTCCTCAAAGTTTCCTTTCTTCCATTTTTCCAAACCTCCATTGTATCTGACATGCCTGCCATAGTGTAAACAATGTCTGGTTGAAAGTAAAAGTCTTTTACTAGTTTTTCAATATCGTCTTCCAAACCTTCCTTATTGCGTTTTTTAAACAAACTTGCTGCATCAATTTTAAGGCCAACATTTTCAGCAACCTTGAAAAGTACTGCAAATCTTTTATTGGGAGACAGCGGTAAAGCTTTGAAACAACATTTTACAGCTTCCCCAAGCGTTTGCAGACAACAAAATAAAGATGACCTAATTGTCGTGTTTGACTCACCTAAAAGTTTTCTAGTTGACGTTACCATAGATTTCATAGTTTCCTTTTTCTTAACTTTACATTTTGCCACCCTTGCAGTTACTTTACGCCTATGTTCAGTTAACTGTTTCTTTATCATTTTAGCAAATTTTGCAGCATAAATTTGTGCAATTCTTTTATTTTCGCAAACTTGAAATTGTGGATCCTTTTTCTTTTTCATTCTAAACTTTTTAATTTTTTCTGCAGAAGTCAAGGCCGGTAGTTTCACTGTTTCCATCAAAATTAAAAAAGAAAACAAATTAACACAACAAGATAAGAAACTGAACTGCGTTGAGACTTGCACTTCCAACTGTAAGTTGAATGATTGTAAATCTGTGAACCTATGTCAGTTATATTTGCAAATGCAACTAGAAAGTAAATAAATGCACGTGTAATTAAGGAATGTCTTTATGAATACATTGCCTACATGCTTGTTTAATTCAAATGCCGAGAAAACTTGCAAATCATGTGAAGTTGCGTTTAAATGCACCAATTTAAGAAATCCTATAAATAGATTCATAGTATTTGTACCTACTATTTATACATATTTATTTATAGATATCCAAGTTCATAGATATGTGGTAGTAATTATCATTACATGGGTTACCCAATTATATTATCATAAATTTAAAAGGCAATTAAAATCAAAGCCACATGATATCAAGTATAAATGAAACATCTAGTTAAACTTGTTTATAATATTAAGTCATGATATTAAAAACAATTTGCTTGTTGTGCAGCATTAAAAAATTTGCGTTTTCGTTATGTGTGTTACCACTTATTGACTTACTAGGAATCTTGTTAATATTTTTAAAGATGAATTAATGCGATTTGGTAAATATTTCTTGAGAAAATAATCACTCAACATATATAGCACTTTTAATAACACAAGTCCAAAAGATTATTGTTCATTTGAGTAAAACTTATATTTTCCCACACTTGCAGGTCTTCTGTATAAAAAAAAAACCTACATTTTATGACAATTTAGTATGTTTTGTACAAAAAATATAATACTATATTTCATTTTCTGTGCATTATAAAAAATGTGAATTTGGTTCATGTTTCGTGGAATCAGTCTATAGCATATATAAATAACAAATTGTTACTAGTTTTTTCTACCTTTCAGCTTCTACAGTTTTTACAGCTTTCTAGAGCTTTTTCAGAAAAAAAGAAAAAAACGAAGCAGAATAAAGAAAAGATTGCTGCCCAATGCTTAACTCTCAGACGATGTAGCTGCACTGCTTTGCATGTACTGAAGCCTACGGTAACAGGCTATTTCAGTATCATAAAAATGTCATTAAAAAAAAGATTAAATTGTTGTTTGTTTTAAAGTACTTACTTCTGATCTTTCTTGGAAACCTTATATCAAATCCGTTGCAAAATTAGCATCTGCTAAAGTTGCTTCTCTTTATCGAGCTCGTCACTTTTTTACTCTGGATTCTACTCTCTATCTCTATAAATCTCAAATCCGGCCTTGTATGGAATATTGTTGCCATATCTGGGGCGGAACTTCTAATGATGCCTTTTCTCTTTTAGACAAGGTGCAAAAACGCATTGCAAACATAGTTGGACCTGCTCTTGCAGCCAACCTTCAACCTCTGTCACATCGTCATAATGTTGCTTCTCTTTTTCTTTTCTACAAATACTATAATGGGCACTGCTCTAAAGAGCTAGCGTCTCTTGTGCCATCTACTAAAATTCATTCTCGTGTTACTCGTCATTCAATTAAGTCTCATCCTTTTTCTGTTACTGTTTTTAAGTGCTCCAAAAACTCGTTATTTTGTTCTACAATCTTCATCTTTTCTCTTCCAGTAGCTTCCAACACTAATTAGTGGTTGCTTGCAGCCTTGTTGGAAGCGAAGATGTTAAAAAAAAAAAAAAAAAAAAAAAAAAAAGTTCCTTAACCTCTTGATTTGTCAAAGCAAGTGCTCTTTCCATGATAGCTTCTTTCATCGCAGCAGAATATTTGACAAGCTTTATGTCATGATTTTTATCATCTCTAGTAAGAAAATAATTGATTTGATTTAAATGAAAGCTTTTTTTTTTAAAAAATTTTTTTAGCATTTTTATAGTTATATTTTAATATTTTTATAGCATTTAAAAAAAAAAAAAAAAAAAAAAGTAAAAATAACAACTGCTTACTTTAGTTTCTTTTTTGTTAAATTTTGATTTATACCAGATTTGACGGTTTCACATTTATTCAATGGTATTTCACTCAATTTTATTTTATTTGTTGATCTAAAAAAACTCTAAAAAGTATATACAAGCATATCAAAAGACATAAGCAGAATTGCTAAACACAAATGACACATTAAAGTTTTGAAAAATCAAATATAGATAAAAGGGGCCTGCAGCTCATTCTCTCTTCCTCCTATACAAGAATAAGGGGCCTGCAGTTCTTTCTTCCCTTAAGCTCTTCTTCTTAAGCTCTTTTTTTGTTTTATATTCATAAACTAAATATTTTTACTAGTGTTTTAAAGATTTCAAGTCTTATGTTTTAATTGCTTTAATGTTTCTCACTGTGTACCTTGAAGTGTTTTCCTGTGTATCACTTTTAACTGGATATCATCTTTATATTAGTATACATCTGTACATCAGCATACATCTTTACATGCGTCAGTCAGTTCTTTACTGTGCATTTACTGTGGATTAAAGAAAACTCCATTTTGTTTAAAAAATACTTGATTAAAGTTGTTTTTTTATTTATCTAACTTTATTTCTACTTTTTTAATATGTAACTTTATTTCTCTGAAATGATCATTAGATCAACAAAAAATAACTTAAATATTACTTCAACAATTAAACATTTTTTAAACTTTAAACTTACAAAATTAAAAAAAATATATAAATAAAAATGTTAAGTTTGATTTTTAATTGAAATCATTAAACATTAAAAAAAATTAATTTTATTTTGAAACTTTAAATACATAGATCATCCAGGTCATATTTTTAAAATCTGGAAAATTGTTTGGGTTAAATATCTGGAAAAAATCTGGAATATACTTTTCTCTTAAGTTTGCTTTTAGCTGAGTTGTTTCAAAATTCTTTTCCAAGCTTTTAATAATTTTTGTAACAGTGATGAGAGAAAAATCTTAAAAAACATATATATTACAAAAATATACACCTTAACTTGTACGTATGGCAAATGTTTTGAATATCTGTAAAAAAACTAAGTTAAGGAAATTTCTGGAAAAAGATAATCCATGTTAATATCAAAAACTCAACTCAAAGCTGCTTATTCTATCTACATAAGTTTTTTTATCTACATAAATTTGCTTCCAATATGTATGAAATCTAAATCTAACAATACAAAAATTATTTTATCTACATAAGTTTGCTTCCAATATTATCTACATAAGTTTTAATATCATTATGTTATGAAACCTAAATCTAAAAATATAAAAAGTTATTGCAACTGATTTTTATCTCTGTGAAATGCAAACAAAACCAAGATAATAAATTACACTTACAATGATTCTTGATTCTTTTGAAAAATAAGCAAAAGTTGACTTATGGGAATGTTACGCTTAACAGCACATTTCTTAATGTGAAGTAAGAAGTTCTAAATATGAAAATTTTAAATAGATTTTTAAGTAAAAAATTCTCATTATAAATTCACTAAAGATTCATAAATAGAAATAAAATATCTTATTTCAGATTAAAAACATTATTATTTTTAAAAACAATTTGTCAAACTACGCTTGCTTTATCATAATCAGTTTTATAAACTGTGAAAAAAAGTATCCAAACCTTTAATATTTGTAACATCTTTATTTTTGATATTTATAAAAATTATCTTATAGCAACGAAACTAAATTTTTTTGTTTGTTAGTCAATGATAAAACATAAAGAATGTTGTATTTTTTGCTTTGAATGTTTAAAGCCTTAAAGTGAGGCTATTTAAAAATAGTTTATTTTTCAGTTAAAATTTTATTAAGTAGTATGAACGATTTTATTAATTAAACAACTAAATATAAATGATTTTATTAAGTGGGAGTAAATCAGAATAGGTATTCTGTGAAACATTTATTTATGAAATATATTTACATATAAAGGTTTTATGCTATATTTTAAAATGTTGATATTTTTTAAATGTTGTGACTTTTTAATTTAGGAAAAGAATCATTGCTCTGTATACCCAGTATATTAAAGTTTTAAAGATGAGAATCCGAGGTAAGCAAATAAACCATGAACCAACACACTCAAGAGTTCTTAGACGAGACCAATTTTTTGTTTCCTATACACAAGCAAGATATATTTTCAAGTTAATTAGCCAGCATACTGAGTAAATAGGCTGTGAATAAGGATTCAATTTTTTTTAAGAGACGTTTGTAAGGAGACATGGTCAAGATGTCCTACAAAAACAACAAGATATTTGCTGAAATAGTAGCTGAAGGTGAAAAAAGGATGAAAAACCTGCTGAGGAAGATGGTAGAAGGAAAGCATCAGGAGGAGAAACTGAGAACAATTGTTGAGCAAAAAAAAGAAAGCCAACTGGAAAAAGCAGCAGCAAAAGAAGCTTTGAGAAATTTTGAGCAGGAATTCTCCAGCGACTTTGAGACTCCTACTGCAAAGAAAAAAAAGTTGTATAATTCAACCAAGATTTGCCTTCAACTCAGTCTGAATGATGTTTAAATAGATTCTATTTTGGACAAGGTAAATAAGTTTATGTTTTAAAAAGTGAAGTATCCTCAAACATCAGTTCTTTGGAATTCGCTTCCTTCATCTTGCTTTCCTGATTCATATAATTTGCAATCTTTCAAGTCATCAGTCAATCGTTATCTTGCTCTACAGATTTAGTATTTTCTCTTCCATCAACTTCCAACTCTTATAGTGGTTGCTTGCAGCCTTGTTGGAAGTGAAGATGTTAAAAAAAAAAAAAAAAAGTATATTACAAGTATATATAAAACTTCAAGTTAAAACAACTTACATGTAACATAATTTAAAAAATGACTATGCTCTGTTTTTTTTGTAGATGTCAAGTTAGTGTGAGAACTGAAACAACTTTTTTCTATTTCAAGCTGGAAAATAGACATGTTGAACATTTTTAAGTCGCAGAAATTATAGAGAATGAAGCACTTATAGTAGGGTGTGTCAATTTTAGACTTTTTTTTGAAAAAAAGTTTAATAGAATTTGGGATATAACTAAAAGTTGCGAAATTTTATGGAGAATCTAAATCTGTTAAAATTTTTTAAATCAGAAAAATATTTGGTTATTAACAGTTTTTATTTCCTTTTAAACGGAATAACGACGTTACTGAACAATACTGTACACAAAAAACAACAACAGACTTTTAAGCAACAAAACAAAGTTACATTATTTTTATAAAAAAATCATTTAACTTAATATGTATAAAGTATTTTAAAAATTTTTTGTATTAAATGCGTAAAATAACATTTTAATTAAAAAATAAAGTTTACTCAAACATATTTTTTTTTATCTTACTAATAGTCAGTAAATTATTTTTTCATTGCCGCATTAAGTAAACAACTGCGAATTGCATATTGTTAAATATAAATTTAAGAACTTTTAATCCATTGGTTTCATTCCTAAAATATTTTAAAAATATTCTTTTTTTATTACTAAACAATAATAAATTCTCTTTAAATATTTTATAACTTGGAGGAATAATGTCACCCAAAACCAGAATAAGTACTAGTACGCAAATTAGTGTTGCATTTGGTACAGGAAAACAATTTCTAGTTTCAGAACTACCAACCAACAGAGACATTATAAGATATGTAATTTTATTAAGAGAAGGCTGCAAAGACATTAAAAAAAAAGAAATTATCCTGTAAAAGAGATGGCCAAAGATATACTTCCAGCCTTATTACACCAGTGGTCAAGTGCAAATTTAGAATTTACATCATCTAAAATAATTACTGACAAAACAATTTGTGATAAAATAATGACTGAGCGGAACAACACTCCAGCAATAGCTTGTCCAAGAAAAAAAGAAGCTAAACAAATAATAAACTTTAAAGAAAAACTTGATAAACTTTTTGATATACTAGTATGCAAATATCCAATTGTAAAATGAGATGATTTTTTTTGTTCTGATGATTGTGATAAAGAAGTTCCTTATAAATGCAAATGTATCAAAGAGTACAAAATACCATCTATTTACATTAAGTTTATATATTTTCAAAGATTTAAAACTGTTAGCAAGTTTCAAATTGGATTACCTGATAGTATTGAAACCAGGAAACAGTTCAAAAGATTACTTAGAAAAGATAGAGAAAAATGTTTTGAGCAAAAAGACAGCAATGTTATTTTAACTAAAAAACAAAAAATTGAGTTAGATGAGATTAACTATAAAAAAGAAAGTGATTTCAGTAATGAAATAGAATTATATGATAACATTGATGTTACTAATGTAGAATTACCTCTAGTGCTAGAGAAACCATCAGGAAAAAAAAAGTGTTACAATACTTTAGATATTTCACACATAGCTATGAATAGCGCAAGGTATAATTCTTCTTAAATAAATTTGTTTTTTAGTAATGTATTTATAATTATATATATATATATATATATATATATATATATATATATATATATATGAGGTGTCTGCACGTGCTACAGCTGCAATTGCTACAGTAACACTTATTGATGCAGGATTAATAACATCATGTTTGGTTTATATGTCAACTCCATATAAATGAGTTGCCACTGAGGCATCTTATAACCATCTAGATGGTCAAACGAAATCCAACAATAAATGATCTGGTGTTATTGGTTCAATGCTTGATCATGCTACAGATCTAGATATAAATCCCGTATTTAAAACTATTAAAATTGGTAATCCACTTATTTCTCTCGATGATAAAATAATGAATGACCTGTCTGCAGATCAACTTTATGGTTACAAAGTTGTTCGTGCCATTAGAAGTGGTATTTTACCAACAAAATTTCATTTATTACAAATTGGGCCTGTTTCACCTTCAAGATGGTTAACTACTGCTAACAGAATATGTAGAATATGGATTTCTAAACATGGAATTCAAGGTAAAGATTTAGAAAATTAAGGTCTATCACCGAGTACATTGTAGGTGTTTATTTTCCTTGTTGGTTTAAGATTAAAGTTGAATTCTTGAATTGAAAGTCCTAAACATGTTCTTTACCAACTGCAGCAACTCAAATTTTAAAAAGAAGATGTCATTAAAATAGTATCACCCTCTATTCCAAGATCAGCTTGGTTTTGTTTCAGTGAGTGTATACTACAAACATTGTTGTGTTCTAATACTGAAGAGAATAGAAGTGTAGCTATTAATAAGATAAAAGATATTAGAGGTACTGGAAATGAACATCTAAAAAAAGGTGATTTTTCTCCTAGACCAAGAAAAACTCCTGTTCTGAATATTAATGCTGAAAAATTGGTAGACCTAATATCATGGGATTCACCGGTTTATGAACCAGTCCTAACTACTTCTCTAACAACTTCTGAAATTAATGTGTTTTTATCAAATCCTATGCAGGTGCCGATTTGGCCGATGTACAATCTGTTGAACAGTGTGTAAAGCAAGTTACTGAAGCATTAAGTAGAGTGTACACTCATGAAATGAGAGAAGGATTTGCTCGAACTCAAGAGACGAGTAAGTTTGACACAAATGTTTTTGTATTAAATTTATAATATTTATTGAAATAATTTGTTTGTTTTTTTTAAATATCTTGCTGTATTTCTAGCATCAACACCAATAAAATTATTAAATGATGTAAAGTCAAACTGTATTTAAAATACATTGAAAAATATCTTAATATTTATAAATTAATCTCAATCTAATTTCAGTTATAAATATTAATTTATTGCATATTAAAAATTAAATTCAAAGTATAAAAATAATTTAAAAAAAAAGAAATATTTCTTTTATATTTCATATAAATTCTTAAAGCAAATATTTTCATATCTAAAATTAGTTTTAATCAACATTTATATTCCAACTGATATTTATAAGTATAAAATAAGCAAAAAAATTAAAAAAAAAAAAAAGCTTATTAATGTTTAACTAAAAACCGGATTTTTTTGAGAAACTAGATCAAAATTTTATTGAAATATAAAAAGTTGAATCACCTAAGCAAAAAAATTTTAATTCAAATTTTAAAACCATATTTAGATTTTCCATCAAATTCTGCAACTTTTAGTAACTCCCTAATTTTTTTCTTGAGAAAAATCAAAAATTGACACACCCTAACTTATAGTAAAAGAGCAGAACCTGGATAAAATAAAGGTTAAAAACTTGTTCTTCAGTTTGACACAAAGTCGGTCAAACAATACAGCATGGAGGTCAAGATTTCGGAAACAGTAGAAAGGTTGGCAATGAGTTTTTCCTCTCAAGAGTCCGGTTCACTTGAATTTCTTCTGGGAATACTTCAGTACCCTCCTCAAAGGGAAAGATCAAGCGCTGGTTATCTGAAGACTTGTGGAATATTATGACTTAACAGACCAGATCATAGCTTATTGTGCTGACACAACTCGCTCAAACACTGGAAAACATAATGATGCAATTTAAAATATTGAAGTTTATTCAATATTTTAAAATGCTTTACTATATAATTTACAGGCATTTTTTTTATTTTTATTTTTTCTGAGAATAATGATAGAAAATAATAATAATAATAAATTTAGGCCCCAGGCCCCATATAAGGGAACAATATTTTCATCATGTTATGATGGAATTACAGGGAGAAACAAAGAGACCAAGTTGATCCTTATACAAAAAACATCAAGATCTTTGGCCTGAGATTGAAAAAAATGTCAATACATTGGCCAACATAAAATTTGATTGGAACAGACCTGAGTTTGCTCTTGGAAGCCTCTTTTACAATCTTGCAAATGAAACAATGCAGTTCTGTACGACAGTTCTTAAAACAAATATTTTTGATTACAAGTATTTATGTCAACTGGTAACTTTTTTGCTTGAAGCAAATTTGTTGAACTTCAGGTTTCTACAACCAGGTGTACATCAAGAAGCAAGATTTGTGGCTGATTCATTGTATCTGTTCGCAATGCAAATGACCAAGAACTACAACAAGCAACTCAGCATCAATGAGATTAAAATGATACAGGATGCAACAGATTATATTGTAATCTTTAATTGTTTATTCTTTCTGAAAAGCCCAATGGCAGCTCAGGCTTTATCCAAGCATTCAAGATTTTAGAGCATTAGAGCATTCAAGATTTCATTGCAGATCATGATAGGTCCACTTTACTCCAAGAAGTACTAAAAGATTAGCTAAGCTCTTAATCTTAGTATTAGTCAGACACACTTGGCATTTTACACCACGGTATGTTATCTTTGCTTTAGCTGAACAGCACTTAGATGAGAAAGAGAGGAAGGATGTTCTTATGGAATTGTTAAAATATGATGTTCCAGAGATGAACAGCTTTGACAAAGAACAACCAGAACCTTTTACACAGATCTGTCCCCTCTCAAAGCTATCAGACTTTGTTTCTCAGCAGTCTTATCTCTTTTTTCTCCATCTTGGTATAACCAAAGATGACATTCTCTCATTGAAAGAAGGAATGTCAAATTTGGAGAAAAATCTCAACAATGAATCTTTTAAGACATTTGTGTCCAGTGTATACCAATTAGCAGTTTTTAATTAAAGGGCTGAAAAACTTATTATATTGGTTCAAGATTTTATTGGAAGAAAACATTCTGAAGACAGGCTCCAAGACACGATGATGGTGGTTTTAGACAACCGGCAGAAGATTTCTAAACGTGCAATTTGCAATTTATATTTAAAAGCACTTTATGGCTATATAATTGTTTTTGAAATTTTTTCTAAAAAAAATTAATAATGCACCACCTAACTTTTTTTTGTATTCTGTAGTATTTCATTTTAAACATTTTAAAACATTGCAATTATAATAAAGAATAAAATAATTATGAAATTTTTTCAAAAATGCAGTAAATATAGCAGTCAGAATTGATGCATTGGATGATTAACTTCAAGTTAATTTTATAAAAATATTGAATATACTGGAGTTTCAATCAATAAATGGAAAAAAAACAACATAAAATTTATATGCAAGTTTTTTTCTAAAAACTTTCAGTTAAACAGTGACTTCGAGCCCAATATTTTTATGGTGGTCCTACTTGGATTAGCCAGATATGATATCAGCCCTCAGAATTAGGGTTGGTATTCGACAATGCCGACAACCTTCCCTTTTATGACAAGTAACCCCTTTTAAATTAGTAGAAAGACACCTGTAAATTTACCCAATGTGTAAATTTACCCAACTTTTTATAGATAACTCAAATAAATAGAAAACTTTATAAATGTACATTGAAAACAAATTAAAATAATTACTGTTTAGAAAAAGAAAAATTGTTTTTGATATGTAAAATTCAACTTTTACATATTAAGAACACATATAAACAAATAACTATATTCTACATGCTTAAAAAATATAGAAATAACTGTGAAAGTATCTTTTTTTGATATGGTATCTGTCGCACAATTAAAAATTATAAATTTTAATTTACATTTTTAGTAATAAACTTTGTGGCAACCAACCTGCATGACAACCAACCCCGCTCTCCCCTAATTAACAATAAAGTAAATCCAAGAACAATTAACACCAATTTGGTAAAGAAGAAAAAAAATTTAAAATTTAAGAATAAAACTTAAACCAATTATAAAATTATGACCAATAATTTAGAATAATAAGCAAAAAATTTAAAGTAATACCAATTGATTAAATGTCTTGCTGCACAAAGGACATTGATTGGTATTTTTAGGTGATTTATTTTCTTTTATCTTAAATTTTGCTCTGACTTAAACACTCTTGTCTGCACAACTATTCATATGTAATAGCCGATCCATTGAACTTGCATTGGATAAGTCTTTAAAGCATAACGTACAAATATATGAACTTTCTTTTTGATAAGTTTCCTGCCAAGTTTCTTCTTGCAAGCTTCGAGCTAATAGTTCATCATTTGATTCATCATTGTTTTTATCCAAGCATTTATTTGTATGAATTTCTCTTGATGATATAGATAGATCTTTTTTAAACACAACTAAGCATACAGGACATTGATCCCCAAACTGCTGTGACAGCTGAGTCACTTTTTCTTGAGACATAAGAACTAATTTTGGTAACAGTTAATAGTTTTGTTTTTTTAATTACTCCTAAACTGAGTTTAAACAGCAAAACAATTTGAACCTTTATTCTAAAGTTTTAAACGATTTTAAAAAACAATAATTGTATTTTAAAGTAAAATTTTTCAAATTGCATATGTTAAAATTAAACCACTAGATAAAAAAATAACTTAAAAGTCACATAACTTTATTTTTTACAGGTATTTAGATCAATCACAAAAATCTATTGAACAAATCTATTATTATTAAAAATCTATTCTTCTGAGGCATTTGAAGTTTAATATTAGAAAACATTCTAAATATTGGTAATTAAAAAAAACAAACACTCAAAAATAAATAAGAAACTTAACTAAAAAATAATATTTTTTTTCTATTGAAAACTAAATAGTTCTTTTGAAGAATAATGGTAGTATGTGGTGATAATAATAATAGTATGTGGTGATATCAAGTACTTAATTAAAAAAACACACAAATAGTAGCATATATACAGTATGTCAAAGTTGTTTTTTCAGCACTCAAAACTTTTCACTCAAAACTTTTCAAAGCATTAGTGTTCCTTAACCTTGATTGAAATAGTGTCAACTTTAAAAATAAAATAATTTAATTCAATTAGACAATTCTATTTTCATAGAAATTTTTATTTTTAATAAAACAAAATGTACAAAAGCAATATAAATATGTTTCATAAATATATATCTTAATTTGATGCCCATGCTTTGAAATTGTGAAGACGAACAACACCCATTCGAGTTCCTGATGCAAGCCAAGTGTTACACCCCTCATTAGGATTCCATTGTATCTAAAATCAAACAAATTTTATTACACACACACACACCCAACACACACAAATATATATATATATATATATATATATATATATATATATATATATATATATATATATATATATATATATATATATATATATATATATATATATATTAATTATGTTAAATTATATGTATTCTACAAAAAGAGTGCTCAATGTTCTTTAAGAACAGAACAATAATAAATTAGTAAAATCACATATCTATCTATATATGATAGACAGATATGTGATTATCTATCAACCTATTAAAACAATGAAGAAAATAGTAAAAATAAAATTCCGTAGTTTTTTAATTGAATTATCTTACTTGTTTTTGAATTCATAACAGCTTTTCAGTTTTAACCATCTGTTGAGACATTTCTTTAAGTTTTTTATAGAGTTATGTTACGCGAAAAAAAAAACATTTTGTAAAGTTGTGGGTTACATCACTTTTGTTCTCATGGCCTCATATTTATATCTATATCTATATCTATCTATCTGTCTATCTATCTATCTGTCTATCTATCTATCTTTATAAATATATATATATATATATATATATATATATATATATATATATATATATATATATATATATATATATATATATATATATATATATAAAATTAGTAGAAAATCACTTAACAAAGTAGAAGAAAATCACTTCACAAAATTTTTTTTCATTTTGAAAAATGAAAAAAAATTTTTGTTAAGTGATTTTCTACTAATTTGTTCTATTTTGTAGAATACATTTTTTTAAAAATTGTTTAAATATATATATATATATATATATATATATATATATATATATATATATATATATATATATATATATATATATATATATATATACTCTAGCGCTATTGACGCACTTTTTCTACTTTAACTTTTTTTTTCCCAACCTAGCAGCAATTTCATAAATTTCAAGTGCATCTAATAGCCGTTATAATATATATCTTTATACTTATATCTATATATCTATATATTTATCTATCTATCTATATATATAAATATATATAAATATATATATATATATATATATATATATATATATATATATATATATATATATATATATATATCAGGCTTTCTCAGGAAATGCGTGCGGTCGCATGCCTTGTTTGTCCATGCATAGAAAAAATTTTTCTGACTAACTGACCACGTTTTATTATTATGCATTTCAAGAATTCGCGCCAAAACAAAGCTAAACAAAAATACGGAAAAAATACAAGCAATGTTAAAGTAAATAACAGAAATCTGTTTGTGCTTTAGAATTAAAACAAATAATGGATATTAATAAAACAAAGATTTACCTATATTTCATTTATTTATTTTTCTTATTTTTTAGGGTGGTAGTTATTTCAGCTATGAAAAATCAAATCAATACAAATCAAGGAAAAAGAAAAAGGTTATAATTTATATAAATTTAATGAAAATAAAAGGACCTTTTAATGTAAAATTTGTTTACGGCTTTTATCAGTCATTAATACTTTAAAATTCACGCTAGAATTATAAACAATTTTTAAATATATGTTTTTAAATGTTTTGTAAATACATTTAAATGTTTAAACACAAGCAAGCGCAAAAACTAATTGTTATTTATTTGTAAAATAAGTTTTTTTTTTATTTTCAAATGTAAGAAAATTTTATTGTCAAATGATTGAGTTGCTTATTTTGCAATCATTAATTGACATAGTGAACTAGTATTAAAAATAAATGTCCCGAGGGAAATGTTTTCGTAACAATGATTACAGAAACAATGCAATTATTTTTTTAAACTTCTTTCGTAATTACAAAATTATGCAACTAAATAATTTCAATGTAATAAAAGGCAAGTCTTGACTCAGTATAACCAGGTTAGAATAAGTCAAGAGAGAGAGAGAAAAAATTACAAAACCTATCACAAAATCACTAAAAACTGTACAATCATGGAAATATGATTTTCTTGGTCAAGAAGTTATAAAATTGAAGGATTTAGACACTGTTGTTAAAATCTGGTGCAAACTGTGCGCTAAGCATAAAAACAGCATTCGCACTTCAATATTGGAGATTGCTAGAAATTCTTTAAATGCTTTTACAAATGGAACCAAATGTTATAATATAAAGTACATTATAAAGGTAAAAAATATATAACTATGCATTATGATGTAATCTTACTTATTATACCTATATTACATGTTATCAACAAAGAGGCTGTGCGATTGGAGGAAATTAGTAACTCTCCTTCTATAATTAAAATAAATGAATCTCAGAGTCCAATAACGAATACCAATAACTCAAAAAAAGCATCAACTTGTGAAGCACTTTTAAAGTTAATGTGCACTGCATATGAACTGGCATTGCATCCTGCTATGCCTCGTAGTCATTTTGAGATACTTGTAAATGTTCAACATGATAATAGTGTCCAATTAATGCATGGAAAAAGCAACAAAAATGCTGGTAATTTCATTTAATATATGTGTGTGTGTGTATATATATATATATATAAATATATATATATATATATATATATATATATATATATATATATATATATATATATATATATATATATATATATATTTATATTTATATATACACTGGTGTGGGAACAGGGGGGTGGGGGTGCGATAGCCCTTGAAAAATATTTTAACTACCATTTTTTTATCTTTAACACTTTAAATATATACAATTCATAATTTTATATTTTTTAATATTTCAATGTAATTTTACAAAATTAATTTGGAATAAATTAAAATTAAAGTTAATTTAAGTTGTATTTTTTATTTTAGCCAGAGTATTCATTCATTGCATTGTCGAGGTAATAAAGGTGAAAGTAACGACTATTATTGCTAGCAAATCTTTTATGGATTTGCTGTCTGATGGTAGCTAAGCGCGGAAAACAGGCAGCGAAAAAGAAGCAATATTAGTTAGAGTTGAAAATGCCGGTATCCCATGTTATTTATTTGTTGCATTTTGTAATATGACGGATTTTGGTGGAGTTAATGCTGATTCCTTGATATTGGCATTGGATAGTGTATTCATTAAAAACGTTATAGCTAAATGGAATGTTCCATTATCCGTTACAAATTATTGTACAAAGTTGGTATCAGCAACAGCTGATAGAGCGAATGTTAATCTAAGTATCTATAGTGGTGTAGTCAATTAAAAAAAACAAGACCATTAACACACACTGTGTTAATCACAGATTAGAGCTTGCTATAAAAGACTTGCTATAAAGCAGTTTAAAGACTTTACAAATTGCAACAATTTTTATACGACTCTATTTTATCTTTTAAAAAATCTGGTTAACTGAAAGAGTCATGTAAACATGGTGCCGCTGCTTTATCTATAGAGTATTGCACTCTAAATAAAATTCAAGGAACCCGATTTGCATCGCATTGTGTTAAGGGTTAAATTAGTTTAATGCATAACTGGCCAGCTTATCTAGTTGCCTTACCAAATGCACTAATTAACAAAGGGTAACCAAACAAGAGCCAAAATACAGGGGCTTGTAAAGAAATTACCAAACTATGCCTTTCTATGCAAAACCGGAGCGTACCTAGATGTACATGAGGCAATGAGCCCTTCGTCGCTTTTTTTTGAAAAAGATGTTTTATTTGCTTTTAAAGTGGATCCCCAAATTGTCCAGACAATAACACAGTTGACTGCACTGACTGCAGAAGAAGCTGACAAAGCGTACAGTACAGTAGCGTAGCGTACATACAGTAGCTTTGCACAAAATTTTATCATTAAAAAAGATTATTACTCTTGAATCTGGATTTGATTGAATTGGATTGAATTTGATTGAATTGCTGGCGATAAAAAAAAGAAAAAGAATAAAAAATACATCGACATCAAACTTGAGGGAATAATAAACCCAAAGCAAGAAGCCGTTGAAAGAGCTTTGGAGCTGAGAAAAGATTGCATCAACATATTAATACCATTAAATAATAGTTGATTTGCATTATTTAAAGATAATCCCAAGTTCGCGTCCATGACATAACTTGATCCTAAATATTGGACGGACAACTAAGATTCAGTCAGTCAGGTCAGGTTTATCCTGCTACTGGTAACATGTAACCCAGTACAATCTGCTTCATGTCCTGCTGCCTTGTAGGATATGCCTTTTTAGGCAAAGGCTAGGAGATGCAAACTCGGACATAAAACACCCCCTGCCTTGGGGCTCTTGGTTGAGTAAAGGCTAGAGATAGTGTCTCGATAAAAATACTCATCTTGGGCAGATGTTACATGCATCCGGCTGCTGTCTTGTAGAAGGCCTCCTAGGCAAAGACTTGAGGAGTAAACAGATTCTGTCTGTTGACCAGCCTCGCACCCCTTCGTCATCTATTAGGCTGGCGCAGATGTAATTTTAATACATTGTTTCCAGTTTAGGATGTTGAACGCTGGATCTTCTTGACTCGTTTCATGGGTTTTGCTTGTGTCTCTGTTTTTATGACTAGGCAACTCATTCCATTATCTCCAAATGAGGGTACAGCTCTAAAACTCAGTTTTATGGTTCTGAGGCCAGCTGGTAGTCAGGTTTCCCGAACTCTGTGGTAGCTTTCAGAGAGGCTGATTCCATCAACAGCTGAAAAATATTCAACATGGCACTGTTAGAGTACTAACAGTGCCATGTTGCGCATAGATGGTGTCCCTGTTTGTACTTTTGGTGTGCATTGCCAAGGCCACATTGGAGCCCTTTGTTATGGCTTAGGGTTTATTAGTGGAAATGAGGCAATTGCTTGAGCTATAGAACAGTGTACTGAGTACTATCAATGTTTCGAGTCAAGTTCTTTAACAAATTTAAAAATGAATAAAGTAACAAAAACTATAAAACACAAAAAACCACAGTCATCACCAAGTTCGCTAAACCTATCATTCACCAATATTCGTGGTCTTCGAAGTAACTTTTCTTCTGTTGAGTCTTATCTCTTGCAAAGTTCACCAGACCTGCTTGCTCTTTGTGAGACTAATTTGAGTTCAGCTATCTCATCTTGTGATCTTAGTGT